CAAGATTAGAAGTTGACATGATAGTGGAATGTGGTAACTTGGGTTTTTTGGATAGGAAACTTCACAATAAACTCAGTTTGTTCAAAGATATGTATGATACGATGCTGGCTGAGTTCAAAGTGTAATTTTGCTTTGTCTAGATTAGAATTACTTTATCTGAAATGCAACATAATTTTGTTCTTAGTTCTGATGAAAAGGAGCCAAACTGTTGACCTGAGTATATTGCAGGGAATAACAATTTCCTAAGAATATGTACTCTTATTTTTTGTCTTCAAGCAGAAGAAGTTAGTTGGTTGATTAAATTTGTTGCATTATTTGCCTCATAGTTCTCAGTTTTTTTTTTTTTCAAAACCTTTTATACTTCCTTAAGTTTAGCTATTCTTTGGTTATATGTAGAAAACCTTTTATACTTTCTTAAGTTTAGCTATTCTTTGGTTATATGTAGAATTCAAGAATTGCAAATGCAATAAATTATTTACTCCATTATATTCGTGTAGAAAATCCTTGAGCACTGAGTTTATGAAATAAAAAGAGGTACAATTTTCTAGAGTAATTATTAGAAAGTTATTTATCAACAGACAGTAATATCGTGATATGGGTTTTAACCTTTATAGCTGGTGCTTAATGCTCTCCAAAAGAAAAGAAGGGGGAGGGGGGTTGGAGAATAAGAATGCTGAGGCATGTGGATTTGGAGGTTGTGCTATTCAGTGTTCAAATGGTGATTTAAAAACTAAATTAAGGACATTTTGAGCATAAACAGTATTCAGAACAATATGGAGAAAGAGTTTTGGTTTCAAATTCATGCTGGTGGCGGTTAGGAAGAGCTACAGTCATAAGGTCAAACAGTCATAAATAGCAGTGAATTTTGGCTTTCATTCTGATTCTTGTACCCTTATCTTTGCAGCATAGATTGAAAGAAGGCACAAAAAAGTGCTTGTATTCCTTCATCTTGTTCCAAAATTTTAGCTCCAATCAGTAGTTTTTATGCATTATTGGTTCTTTTTAAGGGTTTTGAGGGTTTCTTTTGAGGATTTGACATTTGTGTTGTGTGAAAGAAATTGACAATGCGAAGGTTTTTCCATTATGAATCATGCATTCTCAACAAGTTGAATAAAAGCTTTTCCGTTCCTACATACAACTTTCTTTAGACAGAATGTTCTTCACTCGATGAAGTCACGTTCTTACTTTGTTAATACTTGTACCTGAACATATTTTCTTTCTTTCTTTACTCTGGATCATGAGAAACTCTGGACCTTGTTTTTTCTTCTATGGTTTGGAGTCAGATTTTGGTTTACAATTAGAACGACTGGAAATATTTGGTTCCCTGATATATGTCTTCATGTTTGACATAGAATTATGTGTTTTGAATCGAAACCATGGGTGGTGGTTAAAGAGAATGCCGAATACCCAGAGCAAATTGGCTTCATTTATGCAATTGTTCCAATTCTTACTCTATTAATCATACCAAATAAGTCTTAATGAGGATGTGAAACCCAGAGTTTTTTTCAATCAGGGTGTCGAATTTATAGAATCATGTGAAGTTTTTCCCTTCTTTAATGGTAAGGGCATAATTCGACAGTTTGTGTTCTGAAACTATATTATTCCTGGCGGATTTTAAGAAAGCACGATTATATCCTTATGGGATCTTTAAGATTTTTATTCAGGAGTCTTATGACATGGTTAAAATAGGAACATATATTTTTGCCAATTACAGTAACTTTTAGGGTGTTGTGGGATCCATTTTTATGTACGATTCAAGTGCTTGAACAGTGAAACCAATATGAGTACCTCAACTTAGGCGCAGCACATCTTATGATGTTTTTAAAGAGATACATATTTTTCGTGTACATAGGTATATTGCCTTCAAGCAGTGAAGGCATCTTCTGATGTTTCCAAACAGATGCATGTTATTGTGTATTAATTATTTTTTTTTTTGAGAAGCAAGAAAACAATATATACTGTATTGGTTATTGTATAGCTATGTTGTAAGGACTAGAAGGTAGAAAGAATA